ATACCGTCGAAGACCAATGGTTGCATATTCGTCAAACGCTACTATCAACAGGCTTGCTTTCATGTGGCAAATCAAACGGCCAACCTAGGCATTGGGTCTCTACAAAGTCTCTGGAACCTATAGATGCTCGCCGACGTATTCCGGCTGGAAGCGAATACAATGCGACTCACAAAAATTTCAGTGTAAAATCGTGTGCTAGCCTCAGGAGAGACTGCGAAACATGGTGACCTCATTGTGAATCGGAAATGGAAACAGCCGCTGCCGTTGGTAATCATCGTATGTTATTCCCTCTACTAGGGAAAGCAGGCAGCAGCGAGACCATACCCGACGAGAGTGGACAGCCGAGCCACCGTTTGTCAAAACGCTTGGAGCGTTTGGCCGAACACTCTGCAAGGCAGTTTAACCAATCTGAGTTATCGCTTTCTTTTTCGGCATTGAGTGCCCTTCCGCAAGAGCTGTCTTCTTAGATCCGCCCTCATACGCAGAAGTAGAACGTGAGATCAGATGGTTGAAATTGCTTAAGGCCGCAATACCAGAGAGAATTTCCAAAGCCCACTTCAAATTTGGGGGTCCTGCTCTTGTAGACGATCTGCACGAGTTTATAGTGGAAATTTCAGAGCAGAAACTGTCCCAACAGACGGGAGACGCTCCGGCATAGTCCCAATTTACAAGAGAGACCCCAGTTCGGAATGATGCCATCACAGAGGAATCAGTCGGGACACAAGTGTGTCTAAATCGCTTGCGCCTGTCGTTCTCCACAGACTGACTGGCACTCGTGTAAGCCAGGTGCACGAGGAGCAAGCCAGGTTTCGTCGTAGTCAGGGCTGCAACGACCACTTCCCCATTTTGCGTAAATTGTTGGAGCACCACCTTGTTTATTGGTGACCCACCGTTGTCGTGTTTCTCGACACCAAAGGTGCCTTCGATTCGGTTGATCGATGCACCCTTTAAGACTGTCTATAAAGAAAATGTGTGTTCGATAAAGCGCCGTATGCGAATAGTTCGCACAGAGTGAGCATTAATGGAAAACTGTCGCCGCCCTTCAATATCTCCAGTGGTGTGAGACAAAGTTGCCCGTTGTCACCTATCCTAATTAGCTTCGTTATAGACGAAATCATGGAAACAGCGTTCGCTGGACAGGACTTAGAAGGCATGGAGCTATTTCCTGGTGAGCGATTTACTGACCTGGAGTACGCGGACGATATTGCCCCATATGTGACAGTGCCCAAACGTGCAAGCAGCCCTGGATCGATTAGCACTGGCTGTCAATCGTTCTGGACTATACCTTGCTCCATCGAAATGCAATGTTCTTCTACAAGATTACCAGGTACCCACCCCTGCGCTGACCAACGGTGGTGATCAGATAGAAGTCGTTCAGGAATTCAAGTACCTGGGCAGCAATATTAGCGCCCGTGGGATCGAAGATGAGATTACGGACCGCATAGCAATAGCTCAAGGTGCTTTTGCCGATCTCCGCCACCTGTGGCGCAAACGCGACATTACTCTAGCCCTGAAGGGCAGAGTTTATAACGCAGTAGTCCGTTCAACCCTCTTATACGGTTGCGAAACCTGGTACATCAAGTCTACAGACGAAGAGGCTAATCACGTTCGACGATCGCTGTCTTCGCAGTTTAGCTCATGTCTAGTGGGAGCACCGCGTGAGCAATGAGGGTGTTTGGCGTAGTGTATTGGTGCAGGAAGAGCAAGTGAACCGGTCAGCACCATTATATCACGCATCAGGCTCCGACGGCTGGACCACGTGTTGCGCATGCCAGCACACCGATTCCCGCGAAGTGCATTGTTTGCGCGCCGGGTTGCAGTTGGAAGAGGAGGAGGAGAGGCCAAGCAATGACTTGGTGGAGAGGAATGAAAACCCTCACTTTGAAGTTGGCGTCGGTTGGTGCCTGGCTGGGGTCCAAAGGATGACGAACACGTTTGGTTGGACACATTTGCTGATATGGCTAGGAGCCGACCCCAGTGGCGTTTTTGTTGTGAGTTTCTTTGTACATAGCCTCCCTTTAAGATTCTCCCTCCAATTCCGATAACGCACGAATTTTTTAAAGTAACTGATTGTAACCTACTTTTTTGTATCGCGGCACATTAGCTGAGGTGTGTTTCTCACTCTCAACTAACGTGTTGTTGTTGATGATGATGATGGTTTGGCTTGCCGACCAACCTCCTCGTGGTGCCAGCTGGGTGGTTAGGATTTAACCAGTTTCAGTAAACGGTTCTGCGGCAGTGCTTCAGGATGTGGTGAGTTTTCGCCTGGAAAGTTTTCCGCACACAAAGGAAAAAATACCCCTTTAACAACACTGCGACGTGCCGGATGCGACTCTCAACTAAATAACGTAATTGACCCTTGCCTCTTCTGGCGAAACACAGTACTTCAGAAATAGAGTACTTGACTCAGGTTTGGACCCTCACCAAATGAAAGTCGTATCAATTGGAAACCCGGTCACCGGCTTTTAATCAGCGAGATTCCCTGAAATCGCATCACTGCTTCGTGGGTAGGCTACTCAGCCAAAGACTCGGAGTGCAGCCCCCTAAGACACCTCTATATTTCGGCTTGGGTAACCGGGTAGTATCTCGCTCTCTAAAGAAGCCATGGACTACTGTGTTTTGTTTGGTTCTTTTTTCGCGAAAACTGTACCCTCCTGGTTTCCATGGTTTCTTGACCCTTGGCATTTCGGACAAAACATCTTTGCGGGAGAAGAGGGTGGTGAGAAAGGCATTCAACTCTTCCGGCGGTCTACGAGGAGCCATTTTGTCACGGGTAATGCCTATGGTCAGTTGTGATAATTACCGTTACCCCATTAACAATTACGACATGCTTGTGTAATTGATGCGTACCGACCCGCGCTTGCACAAAGGCTGAACTAATCTGCACTTTGTAAGCCATTAAAGCCAGTTAATTTCCTGCCCCCTGAGATAGCGTATAGATCAGCAAATAAAAACCGATACTATCACATTAGCTCGCTTCATACTCGGCGCAGTGTCTAACTGGACGCAGCATGGCAGCCAGTAAGGCTGCAAATGACGTTTTTGGGCTCAAACATTGCCAAACTCGCCTTAGGGTAGAAAATCGCGTGTCACATTGCTGTGCAAATGGCCCCCCAGCCTCACTGGTGTCGTGTGTAAAGCATGTCATTACGTACATGGTATTCCACTTACGTCCACTCAACCCTAAACCCATTCGCGCCATGTGAGTTTGAACAACTTCGTGCCCCTGGTTGGTAGGATCCGATTCTGCATTAACCTGTCAATGTGGCCTCCATAGGACAGCGACAGGACGCCTGCGTCTACAAAAGGACCATGAGTGGCTTGCGCTGCACCACGCACAGCTCCATCCACACACCCCATAACCAGTGTAAACCCGAAGGAATAAGACCGGAACGCATGTGGATGCGAGCCACGTTTCATTGACGGAGCCAACCCACTCTCCTTCACAGGCAAACAGAAGCACGCTGTATTTGGGGAATCAAGCGCACACAAGGCGGTGGTTAGGCTGCTGCCCGCTCCACACGCAAACCATGCGCACAAAACCACACTTCGAGCTTACCAAAGTCACGGGGGCCGTGCACCCGGTCCCCTCCAGTAATGACCAACTGTCTCCTAGAGCCAGTATAGACGTGACAGGTAGGCACCTTGTCAACATGCACATCAAGCGCAAGCACACCGGGGATGTCAATCAATCGTCAATCACTTGAGATGACGACATCAAATAAAATAATTCGAATAAAGCATATATGTATGTCGACTTACCTCTTCTCTAAATTAGCGCGTGAAATAAATGCGTTGTCAACATATCCGCGATAAACTCAAAAGGACAGAAAAAGAGACCAAATAATATATGCAACAAACGCGAATAAAATTAACGAAATTGACCAGCTTTCTTTTAAATGACGTGTGTAAGTAAATAGATTATTCAGACAGACACTAACTGGAGGTAACAAAGTATTTACAAGATATAGCAAACCGATGACCTGAGACAAAGAAAACCAGCACACAAGCACGTTTTTGGTAAATCAAATACAGCGTACCTACCAACGCTGCGCCGGTTCTGCTTAAGTTCTCAGCAGGACCCGCCTTTTCGATGCTGGTCCCTTAGTGGCCTCGCTCGTGGCTCACTAGACCTCCCTGACTCAGGCACTCTCGACCGCATGTGCTACAGCACCATACGCTCGATGTCGCTAGAGTACAGCCCATCGGAACCTGTCGCTTCCGCATTTTGTGCCCCTAACATGCTTGGAACTAGCTGGTGTAACCAACAATTGCTGTATAGAACGTCCATGCGTCTCTATTGCAAACAACCAAATCATGCTATCCATACAATGGCTATTACAGGTACTGTCACTGGCTGATTTAGGCTAGTTCAATTCCACGACAGTACACGTGTGGTGAGTACTGGATGTGATTTAGATGAGTTAACGACGAAGTTCAATTGGCTTACGGATGCAGGTTAGATCCTTTAGGAACAGTTCAAATGGACTAAGGATGCAAGCGATCGGGAAAAGGTGTGGTGTTGGTGTGGCAGCTGAAAGCTGGGACGGAATCGTCCGCCACAGTGCGATCGATAAGACGATCGATCGTGTAAGAGGGTGAGTTTTTAAAAGCACAGCATAGCATAGTTCCTATCGGAATGTGCCTTCTCAACACCATAGACAATCCGTGGTGTCTGTGCTATGAGAAAAGTTAGATTAGGTTGTAACTCGCTCCGAATAATTTCAATCGAAAAGAGGAAGACCACTAGATTCTCATGAACTGTGAATGCGATTTCTAACAGCATCCATCCGCTTACTTGATTAGTGCTAGACGCTTTGAGGTTCCTGTGAATTGGCTACCAGCATAGCTCAATGGGGCAGAGGAAACTATGGTATAATATTAGGCTGCATGCTCACGGTATGTAAGGATATTCCTCTGGACAGGCACTCGAGAATGCAAATATATAGTGTCACACTGCCCCATTTTTGGGAGTAATAAATCAGATGCAGAATCAAAAGTTGAGAACAAAACGCTGCACACGCATAGTATATTCGTTAGTGGGAAGTATGCATAATCTGTAGAAAAATCCGGTAGTTCAGATAGAATGTAGATCGAGGGTTTGAAAGCGGAGCGAGACGTCAAGCGCGTGGTCAAAGCTAATAGAGTTGCTGCCTGAATCGATACTGTAAAGGCATAGGTTCATCCTGAAATAAAAAAGAAATTAAATATGTTCTGAGAAATGATAACGCTCACGTCGTTTCAGTAAACTACGCGCACGAACTTGAGGATATGGTCACGTCCGAGAAAAGTACCATCTTCAGTATTCAATATAAAGATATCAATCTGAAAAGTAAAGAACAAGAGAATAGACGGAATAGACGAAGAATTGGGAGGAACGCAACCGTGTATGGACAGTAGAAGAGAAGACAAGTTATTTGAAAATACGCGTGTGCACAGCATTAATTCGAAATCTGGGTGCGAAGGGGCATGGTGATCAAAGGAAACAATAATCAAGTAAGTGAACCACTGATACGGCGGAAATAGTATTATCTAACGTGATGGTCGAACTTGTAAAACAGACTGCAAGAAACAGCCTGCATCAAGGATAAAGTTTATAACACTCGTGTGTCGTTACGATATTGCCAGAGAAGGGTGTTGCCGGATCGATATAGAGTCGAGGCAATGGTTAAAAACACACATTATTAAAAACACCTCCGTAAAGATAAATAGAATGGACTGTTGGGGAGGTGAAACGAGATGATAGGTTGGTTTTCAAACAGTAAAACGAATGGCGACGAAACTACCGAAAATGTGGTATCCAAATTAAGAGCAATTTGATCTCGACATTATATTCGATTACACAACCACACCCTGCGAATACGCGATTGAGATGTCTTCCACCACAATCAAGTTTGCCATACTGATTATCCACTGCAGTATGGACAGCGTTGTCTGCAGTCTACGAACTCTATAATCCAACCTGCACGTTTCGAGACAAAAGCGCTTTGACGGCATTGGAAATACACTAGCTCTTTTTGTTCTTCTCCAAATAGTCTGAAGTGGCGTTTGTTCCATTCATAATGATGGAAGTGATTTGGATGCTGAGAAGTAATTCGGAGTATCATATATAGGCAAAGTAGGCTGTTCAGGCACAGCAATCGGATAGGTATGTGTCAGGAATGGGTAACAGCATCGACAAAGTGCTTTGCACTGGTACTACTTTACCCCTGGAATACTGCCATTGTGCTCAAATTTAGGCAAGATAAAGAGCAATATGTTGTTGTTGGACCTACAAAACGACATTGGTGAATGGCTACTCATAGTACTTAAGTAATGCCATTACGGGGAGAAAGTGGGAGGCGCTTTCAGTTCTCACGGAGGAACGGAAACCTATTTTCCTGCAACTGCCTTACAGAGGGGAAATAGTAGCAGAAATTCTATCCCACCGTCTTTCGAACACAGGAATGCCTTCCCAGTGGCGAAGATGCAAATCTGGGTCACCAGCAGCCCAATGGAGAGACTAAAGCTCAAGGATAAGCTACATGTCCACATTAACTTAATGTGTTTACTCGTTCACCAGTTCTTGTGGAGCAGGTTACGTTATTCATACGACTAGGTGCTTATCTGAAAGGGTGGGGGAACACCATCCGGCTAGGCTCAGACATAGTGGTCGGAAGGTCACCAACTCTGTTATCGCCGCGAATCTCGCGGATAAGGGTCACGCCACCCAGTCGGCTGGTTCGTTCAAAGTAATCTATCAAGCCCAAGAAAATTGATCAAAATCCTTCCGTAAGTAGATATTAGACGCAGCAGAAGCCATCACCATTCGGTTGTACGAACCAGGGCTGTGTACACAGAAAAGGTTAACTCAGGTATTGAGTCTACCTTGGCCAGGATGGGTTGCAGCGGGGGACCTGACCGTCGGTGTTTATTATTGCGTACTGGGACCAAGTGGCTGACGGACGACACGTTGGGTGTATAGGCAAAATCTGATTCCTATTTAATTGTGCAGGCCTGAAGATTAATGGAAAACATATGTTTGCTCACACAGATATTTGAACAATACACACAGTTTGTTTCGCAAATTTCAGTACAAAGAAGAGCTGGTAAACGGCTAAGGGAGAGCTATGAGTTCAAGTTCGAGTTCGGATGGGACTGGAACGATGGCAGAATCCCGTGAGTTTTCCATCTTGAGTGGATGGCTGAGCCAGGAATTGATGAACTGCTAAGAGTACTTGATGGATCTAAAACAGAGTACCAGTATCGCACCCTAGCCAACCAGTTAATGCCTATGTTTCCTATCCTAGCAGTCCCTGCTGCGGCAGTCACGTGAAGTAAGCAAATGATAGGAAGAGAAAGGTACAGAAAAGGTACAGAATAAGGAAGTTCACTTAAAATAAGAAAACAACACTAATGCATTAAGAAAAGTAGAGAAAAGAACATCGAATTTAGCAGTTAGCAAAGCTAAGCACATCGTTGTCATTAACACTCCACGATTTAGCAACAGAAAACATCTTCGCTTCGACCTTACAGTAACGATATGCCAAGAAAAATAGTCGTAGCTGGGTAGATGAGACAAGTAAATAGTGAGACACACTGGCGTGCGACTCACGTTCACGATTAAGGACTGATCACAACAATTTTTAAGTCATTTGTGGGACCAGGATTTAGGCACGGGTCGATGCCGCATGTATCGCGCATCGTAAGTACATTCTGTAGGTTCACTTCCGTCTGGTTAGTTGACAGTAATTAAGAAAGCGAAATGGAGTGAAGCCAGTTAGCACGACCAGAACCAAGAGTAAGGGATAGAAAATAATGACAAGCAGCGGAACGGAGAAAGCAATGAACACAAGTTCGAAGAAAGAGATAAGAGGAAAAAGTTTTAATTAGCGGAGGAAACGGAATGAATGCAACAGTTGCAAAGGAGTATTAACAGAAAAAGCCACTGAGTTAAGCAACCGTGGTGCCAACTAAGGCGTAGAATCAGTTCGGTGGTACAGAGAGAAGCATGGCGACGCACTCCCCTTTGAACTCTTTGTCCCAACCCTATGCGTGCCATCTATTGCCTCAATTTAATTACTGTGAACATGTGTCCCAAGTTGTCTTCCTGTTCCTTCGTGTACTGACGTGTTTACGTCTCCCCACTCCTTCGTGATAACCTATCTTCAAACGCCTTCCATAATACGTTTACTAACTCGTTAATCATCTCACATTTCCACGACTAATATTTGCGTTCACACCTTTGTTTTACGCCCATTATAATTGTCTGTAAACCCATTGGACTCCACCGGTTATGGCTGAACGTTGACTCTGTTCCTCATCGATTATAATTCTATGCCCGCTACTTCATCTAGCAGTGCGCATGTGTGAGCCATTTGAAGAACTCTCCAAACAGATTAATCTCATCCCATAATAAGACTCATTAAGAACTCGATCCGTTTGGATAAGACACAAATCCAGTCACTTCCCTGTGCTATGAACACAGTGTCACTTCATTCCTCGGTCGCTTTGAATCCAAGTTCATTGTATCTTGCACAGAAGCGTTTGTCTTCCTAGCTGCTTTGAGCTGGAAGCGACATTGTTCATGTATGTATTGAAAATGCTCATCAATTCATATGTCAAGAGTACCGTTGGCCAGTTTCAAGTTTGTTGCTCATTTGATCCAGCATAACTCGAACTTTCAAAGCGAATTTGTTGCTTAGAGACACACGTGAAGATTATCATTATATTATTATTATTATTATTATTATTATTATTATTATTATTTTTATTATTATTATTATTATTATATGAAGCAACAAAAACTAGCCCTTCAATCACCTGCTTTATGGTTCATTACTGAGCTATTCATAGACTGCAAAATGGCATTGAAAACTGAATGCAGTGAGCGCAAACAAGTGACAAGGTGGATGAACGGAATACAAACGAAATATATGATTGAGTAGAGGCACACGAAAGATCAGAAAAAGGACGATTCAGGAGTCTGACTTGCAGTCTCGGCGCGCTTGTCCGGGCCAAAGCTCATGATAAAAGTTTGAGTGTCTGCATGCAAACACTTGCAAAGGGTGGCAGTAACGCGTCAGTGTAACGCAATGGATTGTTGCAGGTGCCATGTTTTCTGGACGATATCAGTGACAAAGATGGGAGGTAGTAGGCTATCAACCAGTCATCATCATCATCATCATCATCATCATCATCATCAACAGCAATACATCAGCCGTTTGAACTGATGCTTCGCTGCCATACAACCATGAGGACCTATGAAACAAATAATAAGAGGGATAGAAGGGGTAGTTAACTGAAACCCTTAATGCCCTAAGCAAACATTCAGTGTGGACAACATACCGTCACAAACAGCTGGCTATCGTGCAAAGATAAGGCGGCATCAGCGAGACAGCTTTCTTGAAGCTTTCACTGCCACGCGTCATAATCAGCCATTACCCCGCAGATAACTCAGCACCAAACAGACTTTAAACAGGCAATCCGATTAGGAGACGGCAGCAGACGCGCCACTGGTGTCTACTGCGAGCCGTCCTGAAAAGTCTCGAGCCAAGCACAAGGCGAGTCATGTGGACTCTAGCCCGGAAGGCGAGACGGACCAACAGCACCCAGTTTGGTCGTCAGTGACTTCATTTCCCGCTGCCAAGTCAACTTCTGTCCACCTCGAGCCTTGCGCCACCCTACACCTGGCAGACTAAACAACGCCCTCCTAGGTAAGTGGTGACCAAGCATACGTAGCACGTGCCCGAGCCAACGCAACTTATTCAGTGCTACCTGTTGTTCTAGGGAGCTAGCATGATTATCACCACCTAGTACTCGCCTACGCACATCATCGTTGCGGACACGCTGGTTTCATCCGACTCCAGCAATGCTTCGCAGACAACGATGATCAAAGACTTGAAGGCGCCTCAGATCTTCAGACCGAAGGGGCCAAGTCTCACTACCATAGAGCAGAACGGCCCTCAGTGGTCTTGTATACCAGGCCTTTCAGACGGAGGGAAACTCCCTTCTGTCGCCAAAGATGCCGCATGTTCAAGAAGGTAGCTCTGGCTTTTGCAATGTGTGAGCTGACGTCAGTTTCTATGCGCCCATAATTGCTGATGCAGCTGCCAAGATAAGTGAAACGATCAACCACTTTGAGTTCCTCGTTAGCAAGCATCAAAGGGACATCAAGTGGCTGGTGGTCCTGCAGCAACACTTTGCACTTTGAAGGTGCGAAGCGCATACCAAACAATGGGACCACCCTGGGCAGGCTATTCAGGGTTGATTGGGCTGCCCCAACATCGTCGAAAAGCAAGATGATATCGTCCGCATAAGCTAGATCAACTAACATTTCACCAGGC